TAGAAATAAGTTCATGTTTTAGGATTAATTAAATATTTGCATCGTAAACCACATTTCAAACCTCCTTCTCCCTTTTCCCATCCAAAAAATTGTAAATCTCCACTAACCTCGAGACAACCGCGAGTATTCGGTCCAGTTCCTTTAACTTTAAATATAAGACGTTAATAACGTATAACGACAATGATAACTTGGCTCTGTAAAGTTTATTCGATTGAGCCTGTACAAATATAATAATTATTAAAAAAAAAAAGATCACTTGAAGATACGATATGACGGAACATTGATACTAATTGTACAAAACACAAGTAAATGCTTCCAGAAATTAGTTAAGATAACAAAAAAGTGTTAATTGTTAGTCAACAAATGTAAAGTTGCATTGAAATACTTTAATACTTTATCCGTTGAACCATTCTGAACGGCCATCCCATTGTGGTTATATCACAGATTGGCTAATAAATGTAGATATCTATATATATTTTCCGGTACCATGGAGTAAACAAAGTAAAAGTGAAAGACGAGCTGCAAAATGGAGCACATGCGATGCGACAATGGCGTAATGCTCGTTAAGAAAATACCCGGAGACACTGTTCATTTTTCACATTGGTGTTACGGTTTTATAAGATGCAACTAGGAACTCAAGATCATCATACAAAAATAATGGACGTCGAAATGTCGTAGACATCAGAAATAACATGGGAGACTTTCGGGAGACCATGCTGGGATTGGGAGGGACCATCAGGGCACCCGATTGAAGCGATTTTGACTGGGAGAGTGGGAATGCAGGGCTGGTAGTGCTGATGCGATATAATAGTAGTGACTTTAGTGACTAAAATTACGGAAATAGTGACCAAATAGTGACCTGTAAATATTAAATAAGTAACCATTTATATGGTAACTAAGAAATTCAAATACGGTTTGATATTGAAATAAACTTATTATGTCATGGAACTTAAAATCAAATTTCATAAATTCCTCTAATTTAATCGAATCTCACAACGGAATCTCCTGTGAAGTGCTTTTGAAGTGATTTTATCTGCGTTCGAAATGTTTAAAATTTTGATATATCTAGACAGATAACTTTGATAATTCGCTAAGAACTTTTCACAGAATGTCTTCAGAATGATCTCAAGAACTTTTTTAGAATAATTCTCCCTTCTCTTAAACTAAGAGGCAAATAAGTTTTTTCAAAAATAATATTGCATTCTTGAAATTCTTTGCAGAACAATCAACAAAATTCTTGAAAATAGATTATTTTCGTAGTTAGAAATGATTAACATCAACTATCAGAATTAAATTGGACATTTTATACGATAGATGAGGAGATGAAAGTAAAGAGTTGATAGTTCCGTTATAGTAAGCTAGTGTGAAATGTGTCTATAGAAAGTAGAAAGCGAACAAAGGACAATTTTTAGGAAGGTACGAATCGGGTAGAGCATCTCCTTTACCAAGCTCATCCGTTAATGAGGAATGGTGAGGGGTGTTTCCTTCTACCACCACTGGCTAAAGGGATGATCGCCGATTTGCTCATGTACCTCCGATGTGCGGAAACAGTTCTATCGATTGTTTCACACTCAAGATCTGACGTAAGCAACTACCCGATTCGTACCTTCATCAAAATTGTCCTTGCTCGCTTTCTACTTTGTATATACAATTTTCACACTGCCGTACTATAACGGAGCTATCAACTCTATAATTTAATCTCCTCATCTGTCGTATAAAATCTGCACTTTAAGTCTGATATTTGACGTTAAGCATGTGAACGACTATGTAAATCGTTAAATTCACGCATGAAGTAATAACACATGACTAGTTAAAGTCGACAGTGAGCATGCATAAGGGCCTATACGCGATGATCGATTCTCTTCGTCGATTTTCTCTTTTGTTAATAACTCGCTAGATTTAACGTTTCTCGATGCGTTTGCTGTTGCTTTTGATAGCCAATACAACCTGTTACTACTCTGCATTGAACAAATTCTAGAATATTGTTTCGCCTAGCTGTAGCAATGCAAAGAGAAAATCGATGAAGAGAATCGATCATCGCGTATTCGCCCTTATGAATGCTCACTGTCGAAGTAGATTATTTTCGATTTTTTATTGATTCTTCTAGGAACTCCCTGAAGGCTCCTTCCATAAATCCATTTTAAATTTATTTGAATTATCATTAGAATTTCCATGCCATTAACCTCAGAAATTTCATAAATTTCTGCTTAGAATAAACTTGGATTTCTACCCTGCATTCAATTGGAAATTCAATTCGCAATCTCTTTAGAATTCCCATAATATTTCTTCAGAATTCTCAAAACAAAAATCCATCACAGAATAACTTTGAACCCCTTCTCAGAATTCCTTTGAGATTGAACCCTTAAAATTCGATTCCATTGGTATTCTTCTCGGAATTTATTTCGAACTCTTTAGAATTCTCTTGGAAGTATCTTCAGAAATCACCCCAGAGTTCTTTTAGAACTCCATCTTAGGAGTTCACAGGATTTTCTTGGAATTGTCAACAGAGGTCAGCAAAATTTCAGAACTAATTTTGAACCATAGAATTCTTCTCAGAACTCTCGTTAAAATGCACTCTCAATTATATTGGAATTATTTCCAAAATTGTTTCGGAGCTGAATTTTGCGTATAACTAATAATTTAAACAATAATCAAAAGCGACGCTCGTATGTGTTAAGTCAAGTTTGACTATATAGGTAAAACTGGCTTAAGATTTAAGCGGAGATGAAGAAATCGGTCCTCAGAGTTCTTAATTTTACATTCGACTTTCGTAGTCTGTATTCTTCTCTGATACATCTTGGTGTCATCCCTAGAATCCTTTAAAATTTTCTTAAAATTTACTTTGGATTTAAGAAAGTTCTTAATCATCCTTGAAATACTTTTGAAAATTTATCACAGATAAATTGGAAAGTTTCCAAGGTTTAAAATTTATTTTCTGGGAAAGGAGGTATATTTAGGCATTTCCTAATAATTTTTCTGGTGTTCTAAAATTTTGCGGTTCACTGGTCACCCTGGTTTAAATATTCATTAACAGGTATGTATATTTTGTTAAATCTGCTGTAGACTTTCTTAGTGCCAAGTACTCAATTTAAACATTTTGTTTATATTTTTAAATGTCACTCTATTTTAGTAGTGAAAAAGTGACTTTAGTGACTATTTTTAGGGAAATAGTGACTTTAGTGACTATTTGGTGTGAAAAGTGACTTTTTAGTGACTGGCATCAAAATAGTGACCATTTCACTAAAAAGTGACCTGCTACCAGCCCTGGGAATGCCAACTCCCTGTTGATAAAATTTCATGGATAAAGGGCGGGCTCTTCTCCCCACTCATTAAGCCATCTTCCTGTTTGGGGCTCGTCTTTTTGACCAATTGTGCGATCATGTTGCTGCAAGGAGTCCCGTAGATCCGTATAGGCGACTTTGCCTATCGATCCACCCAATCCGTTTTTGTCCCTTTATACAGCGACATGTTGAGGACAATCAGCGGTTATTAAGCTTGATCAAGACAAATAGAGAAGAGAAACTCCCCTGCTAGTTTCCGTGCTACAATGGGTGGTAGAAGCACACTGTAATGCACTATCATCATGCCCATCTTCTTCTGGTTTGCAGTTCAGGCTTACTAAAATCAAACGAGATGACTTCTTCTGTAATCTGACAGTATATGTGAGAGATATTTTTATTTCATTTTGTCAACTTGTGTGATTTATTGTTTCAAGTTTTTAAAGCTTTAGTATTCGATACAAATACAAAACTAGTAAACGATTAATTTCTTGTAACATATTATTGGGGGCCCTGGCTTTAGCCCACCATCGGCCTACCGTTAATACGGCACTACCTCAAATAACTCAAAAGTTGATGTTTAGAACTCCCTAACCATAGGGACCACCCAAGCTTAATAAGGGTCAATAAGGTTCGGCTGCTTTGATGTCGACATCAGTGGTAATCAACACGATTCTAAGCAAACATTTTTGCAGATCATCTAAAAGTTAATCCGAGTTGGAGCTTACCACCATAAAAGATTAGCTAAAACAAATGGGAAAACTTTCCCGAATACACTATTTCCCTAAAACTAATGGATTCGGCGTAAAAACTTGTTACCTACTGTAGAAGACTTTGGATGATGACAAGTGTCATCAAATTGACTAAATTTGTGACCAATGTAGTCTCTGGCACTAAATAGGTTTGTTACCGTACTTGCTTTTTTGCTTTTGCTGTACAGCAATAATGCAGGAAGCTTCGATATAGGCGGTGGGTGGTGCCGTCTAAAGGTACCAGAAGTCTCCTAGAAAATTGTGCATGTAACTCAGTTTGTTTTGTTCTTCTCTGGAACCAATCGTCCGGTCAGGAAAAAACCAGCAACTTCTAGGAGGCAGATACGAAGAAATTGAAATAATCGGTTCAGCCATATTCGAGACAATTGGTTCACATTTAAAGGTAAGTTAGTTTAAAGTCATCTTAGAGAAGATGCATAAATTAAGTAGCATTTTAGAGTGATCAGCCATGTAGAAAAATACACTACAAGGGGGAGGAAGACCAAAATTCGTTAAACGTTTGTTTACGTTTGATGAAGCACCAACTTTGGACCCCATCCCTCATGCAGCGTATTTTCTACATCGATGGTCACCCTAAATTGCTACATCATTTATGCATCTTCCCTTAGTAGAATCATTTCAGTTTTAACAAATCCATTAAAAAAGAGAGGTAAAGCGCGCGTTGTGCTTACTATGACGTAAGTAAGATCCATAATTAAGCTCTTTTACAACTGTCTATGCAAAATTTTCTAACACACTTATGTTGTAGTGGAACAAGATTATTCGACATTGAAATGTCAATATGTTGTCATTGGAATACTATCGACAGCTGGATCCCCTTTTACATTTTGTTTTGTATACAAATTCACGGACACATCAAGCGATTATTTACCATGTAGCGCTACAGCACTTTCGATTGCTAAAAGGATATGTGAACCATAATCATAAGAGAAAAAAAAAATCAACTTACCTATCATATTCTAAACAGGAGAGCGCTGGGATGAAATCTTCTTTCGAAGAGGGGAGGACAACGATAATTGTTTCGCTTCGCGTCTTCCAAGCTCTTTTGCCTGCTTGTCTTTCTTTCGCTTCTGTTAACAGTTACAATGTCTCTTGTGATGCGTGTATGCTCTCTTTCTCTTGATTTGGTTGCGTAGTCTCTAGGAAGCGCGTGCTTGAGTTCTGCACGAATTGGGGGTGGGTTGCTGGCTACGATGATTTCTACGACGAGTACGACGACAACGACAACAATGAACTAACGACAGTTGCTGCTCCTTTGGGATGATGACGGTGAGATGATGGCGACAAACCACACCGGGTACGGTTCGTTTTGTAGTAGCACCAGCAACCGTTGCGATAGTTGGTATTAAAGCAGCAGGAACACTCGAGTCTCACCAAATTCCGGTTCATCTTAATACACTAATTAACTGTACAGCCCCGAAAAACAAAAAAAAAATAGGTGGAGTAAAACAAGATGGAAACACAATGATCTCGTTTTTTTTCAGCTTTTTTTTTTTACACTTTGCTTCAACTGCTTCTCTTCACTTATATGTATTTTTATCCGCCAATACACGGTTAGCTTGTTTGCTGTCAAAAAATTTGCTCATCTATGGAGTTTTTCTCTTCACACTCGCGCCGGTCTTCACTATCTCCCGATGTTTGACTGTTTTCACGTACGGCTGCTGCTTGGACGACCGGGTTTGATTACACAGAAAATATAATATTATTGCACTTTCTTCCTCTTCTTCATTCAAGGAATTATTGATTCTTGCTTAGTGGATTCCGCGCGTGGTGTTGCTGTTGAACTGCTGAAAGTAGAAGAGAGTTGATTTTTTTTTTGCTTTACTTGCTTCTGCTTCTTCTCGCGTTTAATTTGGTTTCACTGATATTATTTTCTTCTTCTCGACTCTCTACTAGCGCGCACTTCTTTGGGCACTTGACTTCCTCAAGCAGCAGCAGCAGCAGCAGCAGCAGCAGCACAAGCAGAAACATTGATGGCAATGCCAGCAGCAGTAGCACCTTCCCCAACCGCCAGAGGCATAAACCATCATCAAATCCAATCCGCGCACCACGGCAGAGAGTTCGCGATGAGACTCACAGCCAGTGATGCCACCTCTTTTCACGTCTTCGTCTGTATTTTGAGTTTCAAAAATCTTTTTCATCTGTAAATGCTCAACAATCTGTAAAATCTGTATGTTTTTCCCAAAAAATCTACATAAATCTATATACTTTTCAAAAATCTGTATCTGTTTTTTACAGATTTCTTCATCGAAAATTAAAAAAAAATATTTATGATTGCAGGTAAATCTGAATATGTGGCATCACTGCTCACAGCCTTAGCCAGCAAAAAAAATGCCGTAACTAAAAAGAAGATGATGATGATGATGATGAGAAGGAGACACAGCGACCGACCATCAGCAGCCAGAAGCAAACCAACGAATCAACCAACCAACAGTCAAACGAGGAACGAAAAAAAAAACGCTATAATATGACGGTGTTGTTGTGTGCGAGGGAAGTTTCGTAGTAGAAATAAAAAAATAACGCGAAATGCTCTGACTCTCGCGCTGACACTACCTAGCTGTAGCGAGTGAGTGAGCGAGCGGGCAACCGGTCAGAGTTGCCAGGTGGATAAGCCAAAGCCAATCCCTTCGTAGATTGCCATGATAGTTTCACTAAAACAATGCTATGGTGGGGACGACCCCTGCTTGGTGGTTAGCATCCATACTTCTCACGTCAAAGTCACAAGTTCAAATCTCATCCCCGGACAAGTCACGAATGACCCAAGAGCGTTAGACTATAATTTAAAAAATGCCATGGCAACTCGTAGATTGTAGGCGCCTATCATTGTGTGAAACCTCTTATTATTAGTTATGCTATATATTATTGATGCTGGTTCCACTTGTGGACCCGAAAATCAAGATGTGACCGAAAGCTCGATTTCAATCTTATTCGACAGGATCCTAATGAAGGACTTTATTAGCTTTCAGTTGAGATCAGGCTTGTGAAATTCTATCGTGATTTCGCAGAAAGAATTCGCGCTTTAATTCAAGATCAACGAACCTATATTCAAACAAATCTCGCGTAACATTTGAAAAGGGCCTATGTCCGAAATGTAAACAATGCAGAAAATGAATTGTAAATTTTTCCGCCAGTATTTTATTTATTTATTTATTTATTTGTCGTCAATCAGTGTAGACCGTTTTACAATAGTGCTGTTGCCTTACATGCTATTTTAAAACATACGTTTTATTTGAAATTGTCAGTAAATGTAGACTGCATATACAAATATCTAAAAAATAAAAATTGTTTTAAACTTAACGAGATGAAATCCTAGCAGTTAGTGTTTTCCTTACTGTATCTTTAGACATCGTTAGATCTATATGCTCACAATAATCATTCTATTAATTGGTCCATTTTTACCATAATTCGTTCTGTGAGGTGACAGTTGAAATACATTTCGAGTTCTTAACATGCGTGATGGTACGTAAAAATTTAATCTTGCTAATATTTTTTCTGAATTTACGCGTTGTGAGATAATATCATTGACAAAGAAAATCATGGAAATTTCTCTTCGTTTCTTAGGTGTTTCAATGTTTATCAACATGCAACGGGACTCATAAGAAGGAAGGGGAAAAGAGGTCCAGCCTAGTTTCCTAAGAGCAAATAACAAAAACTGTTTTTGAACTGATTCCATACGATTTATATAAGTTTCATGGTATGGAGCCCAAACCACACTGCAGTATTCGAGAATTGATCTCACGTAAGCTATATAAAGTGTTTTGATGGTATATGGGTCTTTAAAATGATAACTAAATCTTTTTATGAATCCCAACATATTATTTGCTTTGTGAATTGTGGTATTCACATGATCTACAAATGTCAACTTCGAGTCAAGAATTACTCCTAAGCAGAGTTGGTAACGGTCAGTTTGGTCAGTGACGTTTGACGAAAACCAAAAGTAAATTGTCGCTGTACAAAAACCATCATTTCCATACATTCTTCGTCATTGACGAAGAGAAGCCGACAGTAATCCCTTTGAACAAATCCTATCGCATCTTTTACCTTCACTTCTCTTTTCTGTATCATGCATGGACAAAAAAAGCAAATACCGTCGAACGTGCATGTGAGCAGACTAGTTACCACACTATGAGCGCTTCTTGTTTTCCTTTAGCCTATCCATTCTCCTAAGCGTTGATAGACCAGTGGTAAAGACACAAGCCTGTTAATCTCAACGTTGGTGGTTCGAATCCGTTTTGCACCCATTTTAAGTTTTTTGTGTTGCTTCCAACGATCATCATTTTTTGTCAAACAATATGGAACGGCTGACTAAAACGAGCAGCTTTTAATCCTCTCCGAGTAACCGACCGATCTAAGAGAGAGAGAACGTACTGAGCTAGTTTTTTTTTCACGACGTAAATGAAAGAGGACTGCCTTCATACGGAATTTGTCATGCGCTGCTTGGAGTGCGACGAAGATAGTAATACAATATTTTTCATCACTGACTTTGCTCTCTCTACGTTGATGCAAGACAGCCCTGCTCCTAAGTCCCTAATTTTATCGCACCTTAGCTGGTTTCCTAGAGTACATGTAAAATCTAGAGTAGTGTTTTTTTTGGAATATGATATAATATTGCATTTTTTAACATTAATATCCAGCAGACTTTTAACGCACCAGTTGTAGAAAACATCAATTTCATTTTTAAAATGTAGCAAATCAGAATTGTCAAAGATTTCCATGTACAGTTTCATATCGTCAGCATATATGAGCACATTTAAACGATTTAACACAAACTTCACGTCATCCACAAATAAAATAAATAATAAAGGACCTAAATGAGATCCCTGTGGAACTCCCGAGGTAACATTAACTGGCGAAGATATTTTTCCTTTAAAGCGGACCATCTGTATTCTTTCTGACAAGTATGATCCAATCCATTTTAAAAGTGTACTTGTTATACCTAAACGTTTTAATTTAAAAAGAAGTAAGGGAATGTCTACTCTGTCAAAGGCCTTACTAAAGTCAGTGTATAAGGTTTCAACGGTATTACCTCTATCCATTGCTTCAATAGAAAAGTTTACAAATTCCAACAGATTAGTAGACGTTGACCGACCTTTAAAAAAACTATGTTGATTATTTGAAATGCGATGCTTAACCTGGTTAAATATTTTCTGGTTAACAATTGCTTCAAACATTTAGGAATGCATGACATAATTGCAATACCTCTATAGTTTTTAATATCTGACCGTTTGCCAGATTTAAATATTGGAACTAAAAATGATTTCTTCCAATTTTTTGGAAAATCACCTGTTCTGAGAGATAAATTGTAAAGCCAAAACAATGGTTTAACAAAACTTGTTGCTATTTTTTTCAATAAAAATGAAGGTATTTCATCAGGACCAGGTCCTTTGCCGGCATCGAGACTTTCAAGAGTCATAAAAATTTCTTTAACAGTGATATTATTAACTGATACGTCATTTTCCTTTTAATTCCTATATCATTTTCATTTTAATTCCTATATAAATAAATTGAAGTATTTTAGGCATTTATATTGTTCACAATAACAATAGTAACTATATCTCAGTACACAACATCCAAAACATGCGAAACGTTTTTTAAATACATGAAAATCGATAAAAATTTAATATCACAGTAATAAGCCTTTTTGTGAATCTTTAAATGGTTAGGCCCTTTTTGTTAAGCCGTTGTGCTTGTCATCATAAATTGTAGGCCATTTGCTAAGCCTTTTCTTAACGTCAAATAAATCATCGGCCCTGCCTCAAGCAGTAGGGCCTAGCTTTGATTTGAAATTTTTCAATCATCGGCCCTTCTACGTCGCTAGGCTTATGAATGGAACCTCATCGAACGAAAAAAAATATATGTTAGGCCCGAGGTTAGGCCGTTTTAGCATGAATGATTGGAAAAATTTCGTGGATCTGCCGTTTTTAAAATCAAGTTATTTTTAATGATTTTTATCGATAATGCGGAACATTCCTATACGACTGGTAGCTAATTACCAGTGATACAGAATGGTATCAAAAATCGGTTTGTTTACATTTTGATCATAGGCCCTATTCAAATGTTACGCGAGAAATCTTCACGTTTATGCTGCATCAACAACAGAGTGCTACAAATAAAAAAAAATAGAATTAAATTTTCAAGCGACCTATTGCAGTGACTTTAGTGACTAAAATAACGAAAATAGCTACCAAATAGTGACTTTAAAAGAATAAAAAAGTGACCAATATTGACATTCATTGATCAGAAAGATATAGATACACGCATGTTTCAAGCTTCTTGAAAATAAAACAAATGGTTTAAGGAACTCATCAATTTGATCTCCTAAGCTAATTATGAGTTGATAAGCAAGAGTACGGTCCAATTCTAACCTCCATTTCCTCACTCTGCACTATTTTGTCAACCTCGATTTTTTTTTTGATTTTTAGATATTAGAGGCAGACCACATAACATATGTGGAACTCGATCATTAAAAATCGACCCCATTTCAGTGATTTCAAGTGGTATAGAAGGACATCTATCTGTCAAATTGATTATACCAGCCCTATTTTTGATATCAAAACGTATTGTTTGTCTGAAATTATGGCCTGGTAAGTCTGGTAACTCCACGCGTTCATTTCTTCTAACTCTAAATTTGGGCGGATTAATTTTTTCAATTTTTTTTTTCTCTAAGGCAAATTTTGAATAAAAATGTATGTAACCAATTGCATCAATCTTTGATTTCATAAGGTTTCGTTTGAGAAAAAATACGACTGTGCAAATTTGGATTTAAGTGCATACATTTTTAAGTCCA